TGCCCTTTATTTGACATGCCATTTGCCAATTAGTAAAGTTTTCTCAGGCTTAAATTCGTGTTGAGAAAAGGAAAAGGCGAAAAGCTAACACAAGAAAATTTCATAATGAAGTCAGTAAAAATGTGCTCTAGAAAAATCTTCATTTTCTTCTCTAAGGTCAACTCGGTCAATTAGGAAAGTGCAGAGCCAGGTTCCATTTAGATGTACGGTTTCAGGAGAAACAAAAGTTCATCAATGTCTATCCTACAAGGTTTAGAAGTTATTTTAGTAGTAATTGATCCTTCTAGTGGAGGTTACACTCCAGAGATATTTTCTGCAAGGCTCTGTATTAGTACCTGGAATGATGATGCGCAAGAAGGCAAGAGAGCATTACCCCTCATTTGGGAGGAAAAGGTCTGTTGTAGAAGCAGGTTTCAATGCAGTCCCTCTGTCTCCCGAAGAAATCATTCTTATTAGATAACTTAGTATCCCACCTTTCAGTGGATTGTAGTCATTTCTTCTTTCAAAATGCTTGATAACACTGATTTACATGGTCGGATGTAGTTGTGGGGAGCTCACTTTTTTTAAATTCTATTTACCTTTGTTGTTTTCCTTTAACATGTAGATGTTGGGATTAGGCTTAAATTAGGCTTAAAGGTTTTCATTCTTACGTGATGGGAGGATTTCCAAGAAGCATAAGTTATAGTTACTGGTAGAAACGAAATAAGAGAGAGCAGGGGATGAAATATTGGTGTTGCATAATGTTAGGAAGCATATCAAAGGCGTTTGCAGGCCCGAGAAGAGAAGTGCTAGTTGAATGCAGACAATTGTTGGCACTTGGGAGATGACTGATGAGTTGTCTGGGAGCTGACCTGTTGGAAATAAAAGAGGGGTTTACTGAGGTGGAGTTTTTAGGTTTCAACCTAGGAATAGCTGTGCGTGAAGGCAATAACCATTACCAAAGCATGAAGTTCCAATTGTGTGTGAAGGGAACCGTTTCCTCTCCCTCAACCCCAACCACATGCACCCAAAAAATTAGAAATAAAAAGAGAAAAGGTAATGGAACTAAACAGTTGGTCATGTAAAGATTGAGAGGACTTGCAACCAGTAGTCAGATCAATTTCTTTTCATAATTTTCTTCCCAGTCTTTCTCCATGATATATAGGAGTACTTAAAGTTTAGTCAAGACAATCCTCAGTTAGTTACAAGCCTACAGCATATATGTGGCTGTCTGGCAGAGGAGACTCTTATTCTTAATAAACCACGTGTTTGTTTGCTTTATGCATCAAGGGAAGAATTTGAATTTGTATTCCAATTTTAGACTATTATTCTTGTTACTTGGAAGGTTTCTGATGCAGCTCGGAAGCTTGTCTATGTTTGTTCTTTTAGAAGTTCACAAGTTTGCTGATCTAATAAGCATGGCCTATGGCATCTTCTTTTGTAAGCTAATGGTGTTGCATATTTATTTTTTTAGCCTCTGACAGAACTTGAAGAAAAGAAGTGCAAACGATGTGGGATATATGAGAAGGACTCATTTGTAAAGCCTGATGATATATTTGATGAATGGGAGTTCTGTGCATCTGATTTTACTAGTGCTGATGGGAAGTATATTCATTTCAAGGAGAAAGAGTTCAATGCCACATTTTTGTGTCCAGACTGTCTCCCTCTTGAAGGTGGTGAGTATTCTTTTTTTTGCTGTCTCCTCTTCTTGTTGGTTAATGCGATGTATTCTCTATAACAATAGTGAACTTGAGGCTAGTTGGAATTAATTTACTGCACATAAACTCATAAATGCTCTGAAAGCACCCCCCCCCCTCTCCCCTCACCAATCTTTGCTTCGAGGTTTTGATTTAGTGATAAGGATGCAACACAAAATGTGTGGAAAGATACGTCTCTAGTTCAAACCCCGCCACTGACAAGAGGGCTGACATTCAAGTACCCCTCCCCTCCTGGAGTTTTCGAACATGAGGGTCAGTTGGAGTTGGGCATAACTCATAGGGGAATCTTAATCATCAAAAAGGTAAATAAAATTTATTCTAATCGAAGTGATCAATAGAAAAAGGTTTTGGTGGGTAAATCTTTGAGTTTTATTTTGACGTAGGATTTGGGCTCCTAATTGGCCCTGCAATCAAAAGACAATGGTACCACACTACCTTCACTTAGGGGTGTTGACACAGATGTAAACAATTTTTTTGCCTGGTTCTATAATTGAAGAATTAAATTGGACTGTTTCTCAAAAGAAACTGAATAAACGGAAGGTTGCACTTCCCTTGCAAGCTATGTATGATGACGATATGGATTTCTAGTAATCTTTGTTCTAAATGTTACTATATCCTTGTGTCTCCTCTGACATCCCTTTGTGGCACGTAGGGAATCCATGATGGGTCTGATTTTGTCTAAATTAGGAACGATTCTACTGAGTTACAAAATCTACAAATTATTTAAACATCAACTTATCAGAGCTACAAAATTCTTGTATTTATAGCATTATGGATGCTTATCCATTTGTTCTCTATATTCTGTAACTTATTGTCTGTGTTATTGCATGATTTCAGTAGCTTCTAATCACACCGATGTCCCACGGAATAAGGAAAAGGGAATGCACTGGGCTCTAGTGTTGCTCATCTGTGTCTTAGTGACTACTTTTATAGTTTTTGGAGCAGTAAGTGCCTACAAATATTGGCAAAAGAGAAAGAAACAACAAGAGCAAGCTCGATTCTTGAAGCTGTTCGAGGAGAGCGATGACATAGAGGACGAATTGGGCATTGGACCACTTAGTCATGTCATTTAGGTAGAAAAGAAATGGTATACCCTAAAACACTTGTACATTGCTTTTTGGTTTCAATCTTCTTCATGGAGAGAACTATTGAGAAAGTTGTATAGTGTAAACTTAACAGAGTGAAAATATGTATAAATTCATTATACTACAAGAGAAAACTCCAAACTAGTCCTTGTTCTTGTAAAAGAAAAGATATTTTGCTTCAAGTAGTTGAAAGGACAGGTAAAAAAGTACCCTTTCGGGGTGGTCTAGTGGTTTGGGATTAAGATTTCCGTGTTGGAGATCTCAAGTTCAAAACCCTTTGCTAGCAAAAGCAACATGTTTGCCGTTTAGGTTGTGCTCGTCGCATCGAGTTTGCCTAGCGCGGGTTACCTCTGAAAAAAGTGAATCTACCTATGGGGGATTAGCTTACAAAATACGCACTACACATATACTGTCAGTGTATATAAACTAGTTTGATCGAACTTTATATAATCTATAACTTCCCACATTTCTATATTCTATTTTTTGACTGAAGAGTTTGTAGGAATTCTTAGGTCCAGAGTAGATGAACATCTACACCTAAAGTAAAACAAAATTCATATTAATAAGAAAGGGATTTAGGTATAAGATTTAAAAAATGATTTTTTTATCATAAGAATACATTCCTATGAAGTGTAAAATAATAATAGGAAATAGACAAAAATAAAAATAAAAATTGATTTCGTAAAATAATGAAGGCGTGTACAAAAGAGATTAGGAATATATTGGTGAGACCATATTATAAGCCACATGGAAGTGACTAATAATTCAATAAAAATTAGATGAATTATAGTTATTTGCAACTAAATAAAACACACAAGAAAGTAGGAGTGGCTACTATATGAATATAACACGCAACAAGTTAGCAATGTGTATTATATTTTTTCTCTTTAATTTGTACAAATAGTCAAGTTTACATTACGTATCCAAACTTTATGTCATTATTATGTATCTTGAAATTCGAAACATAGGCTAGACAGGCAGTAAACTTCACCGTTCACACCAACTCAACCGTGAGAAATTTATTAAAGAATAGAAAAACTCATTGTCAACTGATTGTCTTATGTAGGTGGGTCCCAACCATATCTAGACATACCCTTTGATGCTTAAGTTTCGCTAGAGAGATTTATTAAGGGGATGAAACGCTTCCTACTGTGATAATATTCATCTTTACAGCTCGAACTTGACTACTAGTTAAGATTGGATGAGGCTTAACCATCTCGCTCTCACTATGCCTTTGGTAATTGAGGATTAATATTATTTATTTTTAAAGCTCAAATTAAAATCGATTATTAAGGATAAACAAATTTCAATCATCGCAATTCTGGTCAAACCTTAAGTTAATAGACATGAACCTTTTGACATTTTATTTCCCTTCTTGTAAATTACTTCTCAACAAACCAATTGATAGAAAAACCAAAGAGTTATCATATACTCTAAAATCACTTAGAAAAGAATTTATTAGGTTAGAAGAATAAATAGTTGATATATTTTTTTTTTTGTAAAAACACACAAGAAATGTCTCCCCATTAAATCTGGTTAGTTACAACTAAGGCATCTGATATTTTTTTTTTTAAATTTTTTTTATCTAGAACTCCGTAAATAAAAATAATTGTGATTTAAAATTTATAAACTCAAAATCTTAACTTCATCCGTGAAAAAAAAGCATACGTTGATATGGTATTTTACTATTTTTGGTTGAGATTTCATGAGGTAAATATATTGGGAACACTTTGCTATTATATGAGATAACTTATGAAGAAAATATTATACATATAAATAGGAACACTTTATTAATTATTATATTTATTTATATTTTATATTTATATATAGATAGAAACACTTTATTATTAGTATAAGAAATAGCTTATGAAAAAAATATTATATATATAGGAACACTTTGCTATAATTAGAGATTACTTATGAACAAATATAAGGAACACTTACTATTATATGAGATAACTTATGAACAAAATATTAACTAGCTTTGATTTAACAACTTCAATTAATCATCAAAACATATACTCATATACATCGTAATATAAATTTATTGATTGGATCTTATCCTTATATATTCCCGAATCTAAATTTAAATAATAACACATTCGATTTTTTAGATCGGCACCCGTATCAGATCCGAAGTAACATAGACCTAGTAGTTGATGATGTATATTACGTATACTTATTCAATGGAAGGCATCCAACTTGCCACCTACTGAACTTACTTTAGTATAATTTTCAAACCTCAATATTACACGAAAACATTAAAATTTTAACCTTATATTGTTGTACTAAGGCATAAAAAAAATTATATATTTACTTAGCCAAAGTTTCATAAAGAAAGTGACTCAACATGAAGAAAAAATTGTTGAATTAACTTTTCATACATTTATCTTTCTATTTAGTGTGTGTTTTTAGACAAAACTAGTAAGAAATATACATCCATAAACACCATACACCACCCTTCACTTACAAAAACAACAACTACTGATCAATTTTGCTGTTTAGCTACAAAATTTGGTACGTAGTACTGATTTGATCAAACATGTCTAGTCTTTGTGGAGGCGACGACATGTCTTCAGCTAGTGATCTTCCATTTTTAGGCCCAAGAAATAACATGGAACTTCAAGAATTTGGAAGAAAACCAAGGCACAATGTCTCTATCACACTAGGTGAGCTATTGAAACGCTTTGGCGACTCTGCTGAGGAAAAAAACCAAGTTCTTGAACTTGGAAATATCTCAAATTATACTACTTCTCCTTCATCATTTCCCTTTGTTCTTTCCTTTCACAACCTAAACTATAGTGTTAAAGTCAAAAGTAAAATATCACTTCCTAGGTGGTTGAGGAGGGGCGATAAAGACGATGAATTGTCATCCGATAAGGTGTTGTTGAATGACATATCAGGAGAAGCCAGAGAAGGTGAAATCATGGCTGTTCTTGGAGCTAGTGGCTCGGGAAAATCAACGTTGATTGATGCCCTTGCAGATCGAATATCAAGAGAGAGTCTAAAAGGGAATGTTACTTTGAATGGTGAAGTTCTTGAATCAAAGCTTCTCAAGGTTATCTCAGCGTATGTTATGCAAGATGATCTTTTATTCCCAATGTTAACAGTTGAAGAAACACTCATGTTCTCAGCCGAGTTTCGTCTTCCAAGGACTTTATCAAAGTCCAAGAAGAATGCTAGAGTTCAAGCGTTGATCGATCAATTAGGCCTTAGAAATGCTGCCAAGACAGTGATTGGTGATGAAGGCCATAGGGGAGTTTCTGGTGGCGAAAGAAGACGTGTTTCTATTGGTATCGACATAATTCATGACCCTATTGTCCTGTTTCTTGATGAACCAACTTCAGGACTTGATTCCACTAGTGCATATATGGTGGTAAAAGTCTTGCAAAGAATAGCACAAAGTGGTAGTATTGTGATCATGTCAATTCATCAACCAAGTTATAGAATTTTGAGTCTTTTAGACCGTTTAATCATCCTTTCGCGTGGACACACAGTCTTGACTAGCCCTCCTTCATGTCTACAACAATTCTTTGCTGATTTTGGGAATCCAATTCCTGAAAATGAAAACAGGATAGAGTTTGCTTTGGATTTCATCAGAGAACTCGAAGGAACTCCAAACGGAACCAAAACTTTGATGGAATTCAATAAAATATGGCAAAGGGGAAAAAACTCAACTACTAGCACTAGCAGCTTTTACAATGGACCAAAACCATCACTTAAAGATGCCATAAGTGCAAGTGTTTCAAGAGGGAAATTAGTCTCAGGAGCAACGAATAATATCGACCCAAATCTCTCTTCTTCAAACGTCCCGAAATTTGCTAATCCATTTTGGGTAGATATGGTTGTGATAGCTAAAAGATCAATGCTGAATTCCATGAGAATGCCTGAGCTGTTTGGTATGCGTTTTGGCGCTGTCGTTGTCACTGGGATCATCCTAGCCACAATTTTTTGGAAATTAGACAATTCACCAAAAGGGGTTCAAGAAAGGTTAGGCTTTTTTGCATTTGCAATGTCCACAACTTTTTACACTTGTGCTGAAGCCATTCCTGTTTTTCTTCAAGAAAGGTATATTTTCATGAGAGAAACTGCTTATAACGCTTATCGCCGTTCCTCTTATGTTGTTTCACATGCCATTATCTCACTTCCTTCCATATTAGTCCTCTCCATTGCCTTTGCTGTCACAACATATTGGTCAGTTGGACTAGCCGGTGGCGTTTCTGGTTTCCTTTACTTCTTGCTCTTCTTAGTTGCCTCATTTTGGGCAGGGAGTTCATTTGTCACATTCCTCTCTGGTGTCATCTACAACATCATGATGGCCTACACAGTCGTGGTCGCGGTCTTAGCTTACTTCTTTCTCTTCAGTGGCTTCTTCATTAGTCGCGATAGAATACCTCCTTATTGGATATGGTTTCACTATATGTCCTTAGTGAAATACCCTTACCAAGGGGTGTTACAAAATGAGTTTTCTGATCCCAACAAGTGTTTTGTAAAGGGTGTCCAGCTTTTCGACGCCTCGCCATTGAGGGCTGTCCCTGAGGCCTTGAAGATCAAGTTGTTGCAAAACATGAGCAAGACATTGGGAATGAATATAACAAACACAACATGTTTGACAACAGGATCAGATATATTGAAGCAAAGTGGTGTGACTGATTTGAACAAATGGACTTGTTTTTGGATCACAATTGCTTTGGGATTTTTCTTTAGGATTCTCTTCTATTTTGCTTTGTTGGTTGGAAGCAAAAATAAGAGGAGGTGAAAACCTACGTTACGTTTAGCTCAGACTCTTCAGAAATGTCAACGGTTATTTTTGAAGTAGTATCGAAAGTGAAGAGTAAAAACAAGATGGAAAAAATAATAATTAATCTCACCATAATTTTATTTAGTAGTTCTCTTTTTAATCTTAATTTTAATTGAGTAGCTCTTTTCTCCTATGTTTTCTATGCTTATTTTCAAATGTTCAATATATGTTGTTAAATAATGTTCATCAAGTTGTATTTAGATTGTTAACTTCTGAATTCTGATATTGTTAGTTCCACTATTTTATGGAAAATGTTATTTACAAATATCATTCTAACTTCGATTTCTTCGAAAATTTCATCGATTGTGTGTCGAATCCGCCCTTTACAACTTGTTACCGTTTGTATGTTTGTTTTAATTATTACTCAAATTTTTATTGTATCATATCATTATGTAATTATAAATAATCTTATTTTATATACGGATGAAATTTGATGTGATCAAATCGTTATCTTATTTTCTTTCCTTTTTATTTTATCTTTTCTTGTTAGCTAATGATCTATTTCTCGTCGGTAATGCTTTCAAATTATTCACGTGCGACGTTACATAACGATGAAAAATAATACTATCTATTCAAAGAGTATATTCATCAAGACGATACAATACGAACCTAAGAGGCTAATTACCATCCAAATTCCAAACAATTTTCACTTTGGGCTCAACAAAATGGGCCTGTAAACTACAAACTAATTTTGGGCCTCAATCAATATTAACCGTCCGATATACAATCATTGAGATCTGAGCCGTTCATTATCTCTATGTCGGTTCAAGAAAAAGATAACGTTTTGATATTAAGAGTTCCTTCGTTTATCTTTTACAGGGTTTCGATAAGCAGCCAAAGAAAAATTACAAAGGAATTTCGATAATTTGGGTAATTTTTCAAAAAAAAATTTACCTTTAATTTTTATTTGTTCTTTAATTGCATTAAAATTATTGATTTTAGGGTTTGCTGATTTGTGTATAGTGAGAAATTGTTGTGGGGTTTGTTGATTTTTTTGGGTTTGTGAGTATTTGTGGAATTTTTGCTGGGAATTAGTATAAAGCTGAGATTTTTATTCAATTTTGAGTGTTTTTGATGTGGGGTTGGACTAGGTTAAAAGGGTTGTCATCTATTATGTGATTTTTAATAGTGAGAAGTTGTGTAGGTTGTTTTCCTGTCAACAATTATGAAAAAAGCTTGAAGCTTTTGGCTTTGTGCTCTTGAAATTGTTGACATTGTTTGATAGGGATTGAATTATCGTTTCTTGAAATGTGAATTTGTGGTGGTTATTTTTTCTGTTTGTGTTTTCTTGTTATGAAATTTGATTGTGAAGTAGCATGATTTCAAGAAATGTGAAATTGTGGTTGGTTGTGATTATGTTGTTGGTTTTCTTGTTAAAAGTGTGCTGAGTTTCTATCGATGTGAGTTCTGCATGCTTTTCTTCATTCGTAGTGGCGCACCTGTAACTATTTGGCATTGTAATACCTTATAGAAATTGAAGTTTTCTCAATTCCAAAAAGAAAGTTAAGGCTTAATCATTCTGTGTGCATATTGTTAGCTATTGATTTTAATTTTTGGGAAGGAGAAATTTACTACTAGGAGTATGTAGTATGTTAGATTCTTATTATATGGAATGGTTGTCAGGTTGTGGTTGTTTTACTCACTGAAAGCTTATGTAAAATTGGTTAGAAGAAGTAAACTGTGAGTTGATCTTTTTGCGGTAAGAGGTGACGCTTAGGTTCCATAATTGGTTGAGATAATTCTAAACTGTCGCTAAAATCATACTACTTTGGTTAGATCCTGCTTGAGTTGATGGGAAGTCATCTGAGTTGGATTATGTAAATTGAATATGTCAGGTTTAACCTGCTTGATTTTTTTTCTCTTTTGAAATATTAAAGAGATCAGACACATTCTTATTTATGCATGATTATCTTTTGAACTCTTATTTTTCTCTGTTGGATGGGATTCAAGTCCTTTAACTCGCTCAAAATAAGTTTGCATTTTGGCTTTTATCAGTTTTGTGCTTAGATTGGTATCATCTTTGTTCAATGTTCTAGTTTTCATTTCTTGTTCGTTGTATTACCCCTATATTAGTTCTGCTCTAAATATCTTTTTGGCATGTTTGACTTGGTTAGATACATCTTGTGCTGGGTGATTTAAAATGTATGTGAATGGATTGAGTTATAATATTATATCATTTTTGTTCTGTTGATCATTCTTAAAAAAAAATTATGTTTGTTCTGTGCATGTTTTCAGTTTGAGAATTGTGCTGTAAAGATGCCTCGTTATGATGATCGTGTGGGAAATAGCACTCGTCTCTATGTGGGACACCTGTCTTCACGGACCCGTTCACGTGATCTGGAGCGTGCATTCAGTAAATATGGGAGGTAAATCTTTTCCAGATTCTTGGCATATTATGCGTTTCTTTGTATAGGCATAAGGCCATCAATCACAGTGTCATTTGCTTTCTTACTGCTTTTGATATAGCCAGTTGCCATTGAGCAACTGATATTGCGGAAATTCTGTGGAAAATTGTTTTTGTTACAACCATGTAATGTTTTTTGTTGATGTCCTAGAGTTGCTTCTTCCATGAAGGTGCTTCATTTAGCCATAATAGAAGGTTATTTGTATTTGTCAATGAGATACTTGGTTCCTTAGGGTCTAGCATTAGATCTCAAATTGATGGATCACCTATGCATGTAAAATTGAATTGGGGGGGGGGGGTACTGGCGAAGTATTTCAGTGCTACTCTTTTTGTCCTATTTCTCATTGATTTCTTTTCCTTCATCTGGAAGGGAGTTTTATGCCCCATTGTTCTGTTCATCCAATTTATATGATATACTAAGATCATAGTTGCCTGCTCTGTGTGCCCTTATAATTGTTTGTCATAAAGCTCGAGTTCTTATTTGTGTTTTGCTATCGTACAATAATCATGGTTTTCTGTGGGGAACTCCTTGGAAATGAACAGTTGGTTTAGCACACCAGCAGAAAGTCGGTGGAGGTTTATATTTTTAAGTCCCCTATCTGTGTGTTGGAATTTCCTTCCAAGCATATGTATTGCTCGGGTATATTATCAATTATTATATATAAAGGAAAATGTGTTCCAGATGCTTGTGAGTTTAACTTGAATGATCTTGTTGACGGTTTATAGGCATTTGCCTGGCCTGAAGGTCAATCTTGAGAGGGTGGCCTTGGTGGATTTGATGGAAAGTCTTGCCGGGTTTTAGGAGAATTCGGTGATTCTTTCTTTAATGGACTTGGTGGAGTCTTGCCCGGTTTTAGGAGACTTTGGTGGTCTGTTCTATAATGTCTTTGCGTATTTTTATGGAATTCCCAACAATCTCAAACTGGTGTATAGTTCGTCTTGAGGGGCAAGTGTTCATGAACTTCCTGTGCTTAAGTAAGTAATGATGGCCTTACTGTTTCTGGCAACCATTTCCGCAGAGTACGGGATGTGGACATGAAGCACGACTATGCCTTCGTAGTATGTATCATCTCTCTGTTTTCCCTTGATGGTGTTAATATTTTCATTAGTTCCCATTTTGATCCCTCAACCATCCCCGCCAAAATTTTTTTGTCTGCTACACAATGTGTTTCAACAGGAATTTAGTGATCCTCGAGATGCTGATGATGCAAGATACTATTTAGACGGCCGTGACATTGATGGACGCCGCATAATTGTGGAATTTGCCAAGGGTGTAAGTATTCTATACATGTATTTCCTGGAATTTTCCTCTTGTCAATTTGCTGTCCTGACTAGTGAATAGGGCTCTAGTAATCCAGTAAAGCTGCTGGATAACCTCAATTCTCTCTCTTTTAACTGCACTTTATTTTCTCCGCCTTTTAAGTTGAATTATATATAGATGCTGAACATTATTGCTCTCTCTCCCCCCTTCAAGAAAAAAAAAACACCAAAGAGGAAGGCGATTCTTGTTAAAAACACACCATCAAATTGCATATCCCAGTTTAACGGAAGTGGGCTAATCGTTGTAGTATCTGTTGATCCTCGCATGATCCTATTCACAAAATATTTAAGTAAATGAATAAATTGTTGAACTTTGTTTTCTATGATACATATGGGTCGATTCTGATATCGGATAATGGTTGTTTCCTAGGTGCCACGTGGACCAGGCGGTTCGCGTGAGTATCTTGGCAAAGGACCCGCTCCTGGGTCAGGTCGCTGCTTCAACTGTGGTCTTGAAGGTCACTGGGCTCGAGATTGCAAAGCTGGGGATTGGAAGAACAAGTGTTATCGATGTGGAGAAAGAGGTCATATAGAAAGAAAATGCCCAAATAGTCCTAAAAAACTCAGGTACTTTAACCTCTATGAAGCAATTGCCTTCTTTATTTTATGCCCCTTATCTTTTCCTTTTGAGTTTCTCGACTTTGTGGTGTTCATTGCAGTAGACGCAGCTACTCACGGTCGCCTGCTAGGTCAAAGTCACGCTCACGTTCGCGTTCACGTTCTCCTCGTCGAAGTTATAGCAGAAGTCGCAGCTATAGGTGAGTTTCGACACTTTTAATGGCATTCATTTTGCTGTGGGATTTGCTATTTGCTCGGATCGTCCCGATGAATTCACTTGCAGATACTGAAGTCTTTATTTTGTAAATATTTGGCTATCAATATTTGCAAATACTGATCATCAGTAGATGAAATATTGAAAAATTAGTTTGGAAGTATACCAGGTGAAATTTGTAAAGCTTCTACCTAGACAGCCTCAACTTCCAAATATTTTTTTCCGGCTTCAACTTTATGAACTATATCTGATCTCTTCCCTTTGTTCTTTCAGTCAATCAAGATCCCCGCCACCAAAGAGAGAACAAGTCGACCAGGTCAAGCGATCAAGAAGCTACAGTAGGAGCCCCGAGCCAAGGAAGGATAGTCCAAGCCCTCCACCCAAGACTAGGAAGCGCAGCCCAACACCTGAAGAGGGAAGCCCGATGGAAGCAAAGAGCCCTTCTTCACCAATGAGAGAAGAAGGTGCCTATAGCCAAAGCCCCAGAGAGAGGAGCGTCAGTCCTTCAAGTACTAGAAGGGATAGCCCAGCTCCTCGAAAGTATGATGATGACAGCCCTGCTGAAGCTAATGGTGGAAGTCGAAGTCCGAGTCCCAAGTACCAGAGGAACCATGAAGATGATGAGGATGAAGGTGAGTTTCGTAATCAACGCTCTGGTAGAGAGAGCCAGTCACCTTGAAACTTGCTGGAACTTTTTAAATTCGTTTTGTGAAGGCTGGACCTTGTGAGAACTAATGAGATGTGTACTTGAAAGTATCAGACTTTGCATCTATATTTTGGGATTATTATATGTTAGTGCAGTGCTTGGTATTTGATGAATTACTAGACTAGCTATTGAACTATAATATGAAACATGTTAAAACAATGAAAGTACAGAGCCTCTGATGAATTTGCAGTGACTAGTTTGCTGGCTTCTTGATCCATATACATTCTTCATATTAGAGAACTAAGGATATATATCTTGAGTCTCCAAATTTGAAAGTAATTGTGATACTTTCGTTTAAAAAAGAATGATCAATTTTCTTTGTAGTCTCCTTCATATAGAATGATCCGTTTCCTGTTTTGCTAATAAACTTTAATTTTTTACATGACATGTTTAAACTAACGTCAAAAGATATTTTGGTACATTTGATATTACTTCAATTTATAATTACAAGATTAATTTTTTTTTCATTTTAAAAATCTCATTTCAAGTTAAACTAGGTTATTCTTTTTGAAATGAAGAGATAGACAGATACCTATCCCATCAACTACTTAAGACTTCGTGGCGTGCTAATGGTAGTGAGATTTCAGATCGTTTGACCTTGAAAATGGACCATTTTGGTCGTCAGGGCAAACAAATTCCATAGCTCACGTCGTTAAGACGTCAACAAAAACTTTTGGCAAAAATAACATCAAAATTTTGGATCACAAAGAAGAACGGTGAACCATAGTCCGTTAAGACGTTATCTATTGACCCTGACTTTAAGAATGAGGTGAAGAACGGTGAACCATAGTCCGTTAAGACGTTATCTATTGACCCTGACTTTAAGAACGATTCATTTTGAAGGTCAAATGAGTTCCGAAGCAAGTAAACCTCCCAATTGTCAATTTTCGTGTGCTATAGTCAATTGATTTTTGGTGATATGGAATTTTAATGTCTTTTTTGCTCAAATTTTCTGTGGACCTCCATTAAGACGTTTGCTATGGAGTCAGGTGGCCTTGAAGACCAAAACGACCAATTTTCAAAGTCAAACGAGTCCCAAAATAAGTATATCATATTTTGTCGATTTTCGTGTACTATTGTCAATGAATTTTTTATAATGATGTCTTTTATGCCCAAATTTTTTGTGAACATCTGATAAGACATTATCTATAGAGCTAGTTGACATTGACGGTCAAAATGCACCAACTTGAAGGTCAAAAGATCCCCGAAGCACTCTCATTTTATCAATTTTCGTGCTTAGTCCACGATTTTTTTGGTAATTCAAAATTTCAACGTCTTTTTAGCCCAATTTTTTTGTGGACATCCGTTAAGACGTTACTTATGGAGTCAGTTGGCCGTGACAACCAAAATGTTCCATTACGAAGGTCAAACGAGCCCAGAAGTAGGTAAACCCCTTCATTTCGCTGATTTTGTGTTTTATAGTCCAAAATATTTTATGGTGATCAATAATATTGACAATTTTTTTTGCCTAAATATTTTACAGACGTCCGTTGAGACGTTAGTTATGGATACAATTGACCTTAACAGTCAAAACAGACGACTTTGAAGGTCAAACTAGTCCCGAAGCAGGTAAACCCCTCATTTTATCGATTTTCATGTGATAATCCACAATAATTTTGGTGATCCAAAATTCAAACGTCTTTTTCCCCAAATTTTATGTGGACGTCCGATAAGACGTTAGCTATGGATGTAAAATGATCCTGACAACCAAAACGGTCAATTTTTCAAGGTCAAACGAGCCTGAATCTGGTAAACTCCTCATTTTGCCTATTTTCGTGTGCTTAGCCCATGAATTTTTGGTAATCTTGAATTCTTACGCCTTTTTGCCTAAACTTTTGTGGACGTCTTTTAAGACGTTAGCTACGGAGCTAGTTGGTTTGGACGGCCAAAACGACTAATTTTCAAAGTCAAACAAGTCCCTAAGCAGGTATACCCTATTTTGCCAATTTTGATGTATTATAGTCCATGTATTTTTTGTGATTACTAATCCTGATGTCTTTTTTGTCCAAAATTTTTTGTGGATATCTGTTAGGACGCTATCTGTGGAGCCAGTTCGTCTTTACAACCAAAAATACCAATTCGAAGGTCAAAGGAATCCTGAAGTAGGTAAATCTTTCATTTTGCCAATTTTTTTGTGTTATAGTCAACGTATTTTATTAATGATATAAAATTTCAAAGTCTTTTTGCCCAATTTTTTTGTAGACATTAATACGTTAGCTATGGAGTTAGTTGGCTGTGACGGACAAATCAACCAATTTTGAAGGTCAAACGAGCCATGAAGAAGGTAAATCCCCAATTTTACTGATTTTCATGTCCAATAGTCCATGTATTTTTGGTCATCTGGAATTTCGACATCTTTTTTGCCTGAATTTTTTGTTGATTTCCATTAAGTCGTTAGTTATGGAGCCAGTTGGCCATGATGGTCGAAACAACCCATTTCAAGGACAAACGAGCCGAGAAGCAGGTACACTTAATTTTGTTGATTTTGTGTACTATAGTATATGGATTTTTGGTGATTAGAAATTATGAAGTAGGTAAATCCCCTATCTTATCGACTTTCGTGTGCTATAGTCCATGAATTTTTGGTGATCCAGAATTTTGACATTTTTTTTTACTTAATTTTTTTGTGTACGTCTGTTAAGACGTAAGTTATGAAGCCAGTTCGCCGTGACGGCCAAAACGGTCCATTTTCAAGGTCAAACAAGCCTAGAAGCAAATATACTCATTTTGTTGATTATCGTGTACTATAGTCAATGGATTTTGGTGATCCTAAATTTCAACATCGTTTTTGCTTAAATCTTTTGTGGAAGTCAGTTAAAACTTTATTTATGAAGCCAATTGGCCCTGATAATCAAAACGGACCATTTTGAAGGTTAAACAAGTCCCAAAGCAGGTCAAACCCTCATCGATTTGTTTTGGTGATCCAGAATTCCCCTATTTTTTTGCCCAAATTTTTTGTGGACGTCCGTTAAGACGTTAGCTATGAAGTCAGTTGGCTTTGACAACCAAAATGACTCATTTTGAATGTCAAATGTGCACCGAAGTAGATAAACCCCCTATTTCGTTGATTTTCAAGTGTTATTGTCCAAAGATTTTGGGTGATCCGAAATTCTGACATCTTTTTTGCTCAATTTTTTTGTGGACGTCTGCTAAGACATTTGTTATGGAGTCAATTAGCTCTGACAGTTAAAAAAACTCATTTTCAAGGTCAAAACAAGCTCCGAAGCAAGCATTCCCATTTTTGCCGATTTTCGTGTACTATAGTCCATGAATTTTTTGTGATTCAGAACTTCGACATCTGTTTTTTGCTCAATTTTTTTGTGAACGTCATTTAAGACGTTATTTATGGAGTCAGTTGGCCCTGACGACCAAAACTGACTATTTTGAAGGTCAAACGAGTCTCAATGCTGGTAAACCCCTCATTTTGCCGATTTTCATATACTATAGTCCACAATCTTTTTTTGGTGATCCTAAATTACGATATTTTTTTTGCTCAAATTTTTTGTGAACGTCCTTTGAGACGTTTGAGACGTTACTATGGAATTAGTTAGCTCTGACGACCAATATCGACCAAGTATTTTGACTTCCTTTGAGACGTTACTATGGAATTAGTTAGCTCTGACGGCCAATATTGACCAAGTATTTTGACTTCAAATTGACTTTATATTTACTATTCCCAGAAATTGTTACTATTAAATACTAGTGTAGCAATTTTAGTCAATTTTAGTATCAAACACTGAAAAACGTTTTTTAAATGTTGAAATTCAATTTATGAATTAAAATAAAAAGGTTTTCTTCGTAAAAATGAAAGATGTCATTAAAAGATTTACACTAAAATAACGGTACAGAAAAATAGAGCGAAGTATCGAAAACACTCCGATATAAATTATTAATTTTGTTCTCGAACTATAGATAATTTTAAAAACATTCATTTACTTGTCCAACTATAATTATATACAACTCCGATCTATCTAACATTGCAAGTACTCTCACTCTTAATAAAAATCGAAATAAGTATTGAAAATATCCCTGAACATGACAAGAATTTAGAGATGTATTTTACACATATTACAAAATTAGGAGTGTATTTATTATTTAAGTTCAATTTATCAAGTAAAAAAATATTTATAAGATCTTCAATAGTTTAAAGACGAAATTAATAATTTTTATAAATAAATATGACTTGATTTAGCTTATTAAAAGATAAAAAAAAAAAAAGTAGACACAACTCCACTAATATTAAATAAAAAAATATGTAGTATAACTCATTAATTTAAAATGACTTTCAAATTAAAGTTTGGAATAAGAAAAAATGAGCAATCTCCTTTTTCGTTATGTTATAAGAAAAAAATTGCCACTCACAAAGATAAAAAGGCCATTGAAGGGCCAGAGATTTGTAGATATCTTAGCTCCAAAGGCAAATGTGATCAAGAATCACCAAAACTGTGTTAAACTCATTGAGGACTTTCTTCAAACAGGTTCTGTGCAAAATTGTGAACACCCATTAATGGATAAAGAAGATTCAGTTTCGTTGTTATTTAGATTTCATAAAGAAGGGTCTAAAATTGGTGTTAGCTTAGTATCAAATGCGATGAGTTTATGTGCATCGAAAAGGGTTTTTAACGTAGGGATTCAAGTTCATTGTTTGGTGATTGTTAATGGGTTTTTTTCCAATGTGTATATTGGTAGTTCTTTGATTAGTTTTTATGGTAATTTTGGAGGAATTGTAGATGCATACCAGGTGTTTGATGAAATGTCTGTGAGAAATGTTGTGTCTTGGAGTGCTCTGTTAAATGGTTTTGCGAAGGAGAATGAGTTGGGTATGTGTTTGAAGCTGTATAAAGGTATGATGGGGTTGGGGTTGAAGGTTAGTGAATTCGTTTTTACGAGCTTGTTGAGCGTGTGTATGGGTAGTGGATGTTTTGGTTATGGAAGAAGTATCCATTGCCAGATAATTGTCATGGGGTTTGAGTCGTATATACATGTTGCAAATGCGATGTTATCAATGTATAGTAAATGTGGGGAAGTAAAGGATGCTATGTGCATTTTTGAGAATACAAAGAGTAAAGATTTGGTGTCGTGGAACTCGATGATCTGTGGTTATGGACAGCAAGGACATGTAACTCAAGCTATTGAACTTTTCGAGGAGATGAAGAAGCAAGAAGTGAGACCTGATTCGATTACTTTCCTTGGGGTGTTGTCTTCTTGTCGTCATGCTGGTTTTGTTAAAGAAGGTATGTCTGTCTTCAATTCGATGGTTGGTTATGGTGTGAACCCTGAGGTAGATCATTATTCATGTATCGTGGATCTTCTTGGACGAGCACGTTTATTAGAAGAGGCTCGTGAGTTTATCAAGAAGATGCCAATTCAACCAAATGGTGTTATCTGGGGTTCCTTACTTATGTCGTGTAGGCTTCAGGGGAACATACAGTTGGGGATTGAAGCTGCAGAGAATAGGCTTGCACTCGAACCATGGTCAACGTCTACCCATCTGCAGTTGATAAATTTATACGCTCGTTTAGGATACTGGGATCAGGCAGCTAGAGTGCAGAAGTTGATGAAAGATAACGGTCTTAAACGGGATCCTGGTTACAGTTGGATCGAGATAAGCAATCAAGTTTTTCGATTTACTGCTGAAGACATATCGATGGGACATATTAGATCGATTGCTAGTTTGGTGGATGTTTTGGTGGATCACATGAGAAACTTTGGTGTAGAAGAAATTGACTCCGATTTCTGGTGTAGTAATTTAGAGTAAATGCTTAATTCAACTCCAAAAGCTAGCTGATTAAGTCTTCTTCCACAAATTCTGATAAAAGATTGGCCATACAATGAAATCTGACACTAGAAAACATAGGTCTACTCACTGAAGCTACTGTCTCACTGTATTCTTGTTCTTAGAGAAGACGATCTCGGCTAAATCACCAACATCTTGCATCGACTAGGATGGTTCATCGATCTGCCTAGCAACTGCAACAGGCTGCAAACGCTGATCGACACAGAAAACCACCAAAATGATTCACCTGAAACTCAGAATATGAAGCTGATTAAAAAAGCCTATAACTTCTCATGTAAACTCCAACATCTTGAGAGAAGCAAATTAGACAAGCTCACAAAGGCGAAAGTCAACGTCTGTTATCAGAAGCAGAGATTGTACAATATACGGGTTCACAGGAACTCAGTAGCTTTTGTGTATACATATATTAAGAAAATCACTAGAGATCTATAAATATTTGATTGTGAACCAAGTTATTTATATATGTTAACTTGATACTATTGCAGGAACCGATATCTTAAGAAATTCACTATTTATATCCGAAATTTGGTATCTATAAAGACACTAAAAGCACTCGAGTGAATTAAGTACGTTGAACGAAAATTGAGTTCATCAAAGGAAAAGACTACCTCATGAAATAGAATGCAGAACTAAGTTGAACTCCATATTGCAGCATTGAAATTCTCCAACTCCTTTGAGGTTGATCCGTACACTGCTTTAATTGTGTCTATGCAACAACTACAATCGAATCATTTCCTTAGTCAAAACATCAGTGTCAAATAGAATTTCACTAGAGCAGACTTGAGAGATTCACAAAGTCGAAAGGCAGGCAAGGAGTATATGAGAAAACATCAATGAATTACCTGCAAGCTTCCTTGTTGAACTTTTTCGTTTCAATCCCATAGAGTGTCTCAAAGATGGCAGGTTCAACTCGACAAAAGTAGGGACGATCTAAAGCAAAGAGAAGAAATTCACCAACATAACAAAAGCAAAAAAGAAGATAAATAATGATATCTCCAAACTCCAATAGCAAGTTTCACCAGCATAAATGGAGCATTTTCTTGTGCTCTTATCGAAATGTATGCACCATCCATCAGAACCTACCAAGCTGTTGAATAACTGAGAAGAAAAGGAATCCACATATAAAAGCTTCAGACTTCATAGAATTGTCTGTTCATTTTGGAATCCGAAAATATGCAACACAAAATCTATTACTTATATGACAAATTTCAAGAACTCAAATTCGGTTAACCACTCAACTCTTAATTCAATCATATCTTGATACTTCACTACGACATAAGAAAAGAGCATTTTCTACAGGATCCCGAAACCACCAGCCACCCAACCTAATTCATGATCACAGCCTATCAACCTCCTGAAAAAATGCCTACGTTTAAAAACCACCAACATGTCAAATCCAAATTCAAATACGTTTCCTGATCCTAGTGAGAGACCACTATGTTCGCACTAGTTGTCCAACAAAGAGGTGAAGTAATGGTATCCTTCTTTCCATTACGAACCGACACACTTCGCCTCTATGTCGACTAGCGCTCTGTTGAATTAGGTCTTAGGCATAAATCACACTCAAAAGCTAGCTCAAAGGGAGGAGGATTGCCCAAGCTCTATAAAGAGTCTACCATCTCATTAACCACCGATATGAAATTTTTGTCATTCTTTAACACGCCTAGAGCATAGAGCAAAGACAGAGCGAAAAAGTGCCATCAAAGCAGCATAAGCAAGCTTCTATTGCTACGTAACAACCATGTATGATAGAATTTTGCATCCACATTATCGAATTTAAGGCGTCCAACATAGACAACAACTAGGTCTCGGTCTCAAACAAGTTAGGGTCGTCTATACGAATCCTCACTTCTTTCATCTAAGCTCATATCATACCTATGACAATTCATACAAGTTTTACATTCTATAACAACCCTCCTACTTTATCCGAGCTCAAAATCAACATAATAAAGGATAAAACTCCATTGAAATAGCTTATAAAATATGATAAATGGTAGTATAAAATCATCAACCCACACAAATTAAACTCAAAATAATGGGGGAGAAAAACCTCAATATCAGAAGGGTCATCGAAAATTTCTTCAGCGGTAGGAAAATTTGGCCCTTTTTCAAGTTTGCAGCAGGCACCACAGTTCTGGATACACTGCCAATTGGGTTCTTTGTTTCTGCTGTTAAATCCTGACGTTGTTTTCATGACGGTGGCCGCCGGTACACCGGGAGTTATGGTGGTTGTTGTCGTCTTTTGCTTACCGCTTTGGGTTTTCAGGTTTGGCCTCTGACGTGGCTTCTTCGCCGACGTGATGACGGTGGCGAAACGCGGCAGAGCCACCGTAGACAGCGAATGATACATTTAGATTTCTATGGATTGATTGGGTCATTAGCGCCATATAAATTCTTTGCAAAAATAGCCCTTTTCAGACGTTTATATTTTGTCCTTTTTTATTTAAGGCGGAAAAGACAAATATACCCCTGAACTATCGTAAATGGTATACAAAGACCCTTCGTCATACTTTTGGGATATTGATACCTTTATCGTCCAAAAACTAGACTATATATGCTCTTCACTCTAAATGAAGATTAAATAATGACACGTGGCACAATCTTATCCATCGATCTGATGTCGGGTCATTGGATAAGATCATCACACGTGTACGTCCGTTAATATAAAGGATACATATGTTTAGTTTTTTTACGTCGGAAGCACATATGTTCCAAAAGTATGACGGATGATATTGTTGTTCATCTTGTATTCAAAACATACTTAGAACAAAACTTTGAACATCTTTGTAAGAAAACAAAGTTTAAGAATTTTTTCACAACTACAAAATTAGAACTAGTTGCGAAACTAGAATCAGAAACAGATTTTAAAAAAATATATATGCAATATTTTTTTTAAAGAAGAATTGTTGTTAATATGTGTCTAAAGAATCTTACTGATTCCAACAAACTTTGTAGAAACACGAAGTTTCCAAGTTTAATGAACCAGTGAAGAACAAAAGAATAGAAGAACTGAAATTAATTCACAAATCTAAAGTTTGTAAAACACATACCAGAATTTTGAAAAATTTTATTAGGATTAAGTCCACTGAATTCACAGTGTCCCCTTAAGGAAATTATTCCCCTCTAGTATTCGAGGTTTGATTTGGAATATGACCTCCCAAGGTAAAATAATCTCAATCACCAGAGTATAGATACCAAAAACTCCGGTGTCAGCGAACCACTCAACGGCAATAAAATACACTTAGAATACTAAATTTAGTAGTTGAAGAAGAAGTCCATCAATTCTATATTAAAATGAGAGGAAATCCCTCAATTTATAGAAAACAAAGGGTAGTGCGAAAAGATTCTTATTGTGCCTTACCGGAAAGGTCACAAACCTTTGGAAAAGTCACAATCTTTCAGAAAGGTCGTCACCTTTCATAAAAGTCACAACTTTTCATAAAAGCCACAACTTTTCATAAAAGTCGCAATTTTTCATAAAAGTCGCAACATTTCATAAAAGTCGCAATTTTTCATAAAAGTCGCAACATTTCATAAAAGTCGCAACTCTTCATAAAAATCGCAACTCTTCATTTTCCATTCACATCTTTTCAAAATCCAACAACTATTTGTATACCATTTACGATAGTTTTGAAATATATTTATCTTTTTTCCGTTTTTTAATCATCTTTTTGCATATATAGTCTGAAGAATTACTTTATTTCCTGTAAATTTGATTTAAAAAATTATTATTACTCCTATAATAATTATGATCAAGTAGTATGAATTCTCACTTTATGGTTCGAGGACGAAATATATAATTTGTATCAAGTTTTAAGTGTTTTCAATACTTCTCTCTGTTTATCTATACAATTTATTGGCCTAGTTTATTTTAATGTTAACCATTTAATGATATTTCTTTCATTTTTACGAAGAAAAATATTTTTTAACCGAACATATCAACTATTTATTTTTGTTCTAGCATTTTACTTTTAAGTACATAATTGTTAATTCATAAAATTGAATTTCAAACATTTAAAAAACGTTTTTCAGTGTTTGATATTTCTAAAAATGTTGACTAAAGTTGCTTGATTAATATTAAATGGTAATAATTTTTAGAATAATAAATATAAAGTCAATTAGCTACAACACTCCTATTCTAAAAGACTCAAAAACTTTGGACCAGTAAATTTGAAGTCTAAATAATAAGTTAATATTGGCATTATTGATATTTCTATTGCATTTTTTTGCTTGTCAAATTTATTTGAATAATTGTGGTATGAAAAATTATATTGAAGATAATTTACAAAATATAAATACTCGATTTGAATGTTCATTTCTTTTACTAAGAATAAGCTCAATTTACAACTTAAAAAATCGAAAATTCAAAATATTCAAATTGATAGAATGGAACGATTGGTGAAGGATGAAAATTATGGGTTCCTTATATGACTTAGACGATCCTTCTCTTTTTGAGCTAATTTTTTTAGTGTGAGTTAAGTTCAAATCCTAATTTGACATGATATTGAAGGTAAGCAAAACCCAATTCGATGTCGGTCTTTAGAGTTTGAACAATAGCGGAAGGTGAAAATATCTCCAGTTCTTAAATGTGCATGCACCAGATTCAAAACGCATAATGGTGGAGCTAAAAAATTTAGTTAGATATTCAAAATCTGAAAAAGTAAACACGAACTAATAGAAGAGGTCCAACATCTACTTTATATATATATAACAAAATAATTTTCATTATGTATAAATAACAATATTTTTCTCTGAAAGGGATTCGGTTGAACCCCCATACAGAAGGCTGGCTCCGCCCTGGACATACAACAGAGAATAAAATATATCCAAATCTAGACGCGTGCGGGGGGAAGTGGGGTGAATAAAATGAATTTCACATTGATGAAGGATGAGAATTCTGAACGACGTATAACAACTCGACAATACACCTCTTTTTAGTGCAAAACTATATTCACATCATCTTTTAATTTTATTTTTCAAAAACTTTTGCATGCTATTCTCATGTATAATCAACAACTTGAACAAAAAAAAATATCAATTAAATCCACACAAACCCTAACACTAATATACATAGACCATAAATTTGATGTCATTTAGCTCCACCAAACCTATTCTAAAAATACTTAGGAGTTTAGACCACTAAATTTGAATTTTCATTACTTAATCTTAATTAGTCTCTTGATAACAAGATTTTGAAGAAAATGAATGCCCTAAGATAGGTTACGACTATTCTTTAAATCATATAGTATAATTTTCCTCAATGACATGAAATTTATTAATGTTAAGGGGGGGAATTTAAGTATAAAAAATGGATCACAGAAACTTATGGTTATTTGACAAACTTTGATATATTATTTTGTATAATTCTTAAAATATGTTAAATATTAAATAAAGGAAGATTGTGAGGTTGAGGGGTGTCTTTTAAAAAAATTAATTAAAAAAGAAACATTGTTTTTTTATTTTTTAAAAACAAAATAATTTAGAAGCTTGAGAGCTCTTAATTTTTTAAAATAAATTTCTTAGTTAAGCAAAATTGCATGTTTTTTTTAAATAAATGGTTTCTTTTAATAATTTTTTTCAATCAATAATTCATATAACCAATCCGACATAGTACTTGAGATATATTAAACTTCTAATAATTTTTTTTTTGCAAATCGTATTAGTAATTTTCTTATGAAAAACCTATAATCTATTATTGCTAAAATAAATAAGATCCTCAAATTTGAGAGCCTAAACTGATTGTCTTTTTCTTAAAAGGGCAAAGCCACCCCTACCCCTAACAATAGTGCATGTATTTTTCACAAATATTTAAAATTTTAAACATGTTTCACAATTTTGGTTATATTTAACTACTAGACTTAGGTAAGTATATGTTCATTTGGCATGTATAAAAAGTTTTCTATATATACTAATCTCACATTCACAATTAGAATATATAACTTGACATTTCCTCTCTCAACTACACCTAAAATTCAATGGGGTTATTCGAAAACACATTGTTTCTCTTTTGTTTCATGATATTAGCCATATTTCACTCTTGTGACGCTCAAAATTCACCACAAGACTATCTTGTGGTTCACAACAATGCTCGTGGTCAAGTCGGGGTTGGGCCTATGTCTTGGGATGATGCCTTGGCAACCAAAGCACAAAGGTATGCTGACTCAAGAAGAGGTGATTGCAACTTGATTCATTCTGGTCCAGGGGAGAATCTTGCCAAGGGTAGTGGAGATTTCACAGGGAGGCGTGCCTCTGAATTGTGGGTGGCGGAGAAGCCAAACTACAACTATGGTACCAACCAATGTGCTAGTGGGAAAGTGTGCGGACACTATACTCAAGTAGTTTGGCGTACCTCGATCAGGCTAGGTTGTGGTCGGGCTCGTTGTAACAACGGGTGGTGGTTCATTTGTTGCAACTATGCTCCTTTTGGTAACATCATCGGACAACGTCCTTACTAAAACTATGTTAACTTATGACATATTATATTATATGTATTAGTATTAAATAAAATTCCCCACCCTATATGTCAAAGGGATTAAATGGAGTTGCATAATTATTATTTTCCCTTGATATTGCTAGTATGAATAATTTCATGTACCATATTTTCATGGTATAGGGAAGGGTGGGCATGTTATAATATTATGGTATAACATTGAAAATTTCGATTCGATAATTTTTATTTTAAAACTAATTAATATTTTCTATGTCTCATCTTATGTGATATCATTTGATTTAACATGGTGTTTAAGAAGAAAAAAACTTTTGAAACTTGTGGTTCAAAACAATCTTTAAATATTTGTGTGGTTAAAAATCGTCTCCTTAAGGGTAAAATAGGTATTTTAAGGTTAAATTTTTTTTCTAATTATTAGAAGGTGTCATTCTTTTTGGAACAGACCACATCAAATCGAACGGAGGTAGTATATCATTATCATACAAAATTGATTTGGTATTTTATGGTACGATAAATCGATAATCATATATAGTTAATTTGTTCAACTTTCTCTTACATATACTCATATGGAATGGAATTACAGAATTATAACTTCGACTTTTTAATATACATCCCGATTATATCATACTTACCGATGTACACATATACTCCAAATTAATATTTTCACATATTTTTTAATGGTAATAATATAATCGTTATTGTATTATTTTTAACAATAATAATAAACATATATATTTTATAGTTATTACTTTATTTGAATATCGTTAAAAAATTTAACGATTTTAGATAAAATAACATTAATTCAATTACCATTAAATGTCTATATAAAAAAAGTGTCTATCATGATCATTTTTTTCTTTTTTTGTTTGAATTCTATCCAAATTGCTTTTAATGATTAACAAATTTTAGTCTTCCCTTTTTCATAGAATAATTTTATCCCCATACAAGAGGAATATTCACGGCATGTGCAGCTCAATATTTTATTTTAAAAAAATTTAAAAATCGACAATGGGGTGGGGGGGTGGGGGTGGGGGTGGGGTAAATGTTGCTAAAAAGAGTTTTTCACCTCAATGGAACTTACATGACATGAAGTCGAATTAATTAGAATTTCTAATAAAGATATCAACTTTGTAAAAATTAGAAAATAAATTTGGAGCCCTACAATTTTGACTACAACTATGGTACCAACCAATGTGCTAGCAGGCAAATTGCGCCGACATTATACTTAAGGAGTCTGGCGCAACTCAGTCCGACTAGGTTGTAGTCGGGCTCGTTGTAACAATCGGTGGTGGTTCATTTCTTGCAACTATGATCCTGTAGGTAACTGGGCCGGATAACGTCCTTATTGAGGTGTCGTTTATTTATGACATGTTGCTAGTATTAAATAAAATTTTCATATTACATGTCAAGGAGTTAAAATTTAAGTCTGGCAAGTGGATCGGATCGATCTCCTATATATCCAAGATGTTAAGGGATCAAAGATATAATTGTTATTTTGATTTCCCTTTGATGTTGCTAGTATGAATAATTCCACGTACCATATGTTCATGGTATCGTGGCTTAGGTTCTTTACTTTTTCAAAATTATGAAATTTATATACCTAAAAATTAAGTGGAGTAATTAATTGGGAAAACTACATAA